CTTTATTTACTCTTATTACTTACTGGGTTGGAGTACTCACATTACTCCCTGCACCTCGTGTGCAGATTCAGGTATATTGGAACCCGGTAGCGGGTGTTGATTGCTCAGACGCAGAGTCATAAGAGTTAGCAAGGTGGCTGCATGACGTTCGCGGCACCGCTTCCTTCCTCTCATTGCTATTACTGTAATTAGTACATTTTTAGACTTTTGTTGTTCTTAGACCTTGATAGATGCTCATGACTAGTGACACCCCGATGTCGGGCTTGTATTTTTATTCCGCACTGTTATTTCAGAATTTTATTATGAAACTTTGTTTAATTAAAGGCTTAAAAATGACTCTTAATGATTAAAGGGTTAATGTGAGTGTTGTGTCGGCTGGCCTTGTCTTCACGAGAGGTGCCATCACGACCGGGCCGGTTGGGGTCGTGACAATAGCCAATTCTGACCCCAATTGAAATCAATTGAAACCAATTGAACCCCCGACCCAATTCCAATTTAAGCCGACCCAAACCCATCTTAATAACCCGTCCACTCGCCCGTTTTAATCCAGGTCGTTGATCATTCAGATCAATGGCCAATAACCACCCTTACCTTAATTAATTCTAAACGACCCCCTAAACCCTATCATTTCTCACCATACGCCGCCTCTAAATCCCTCCTCTCTCAAACACTCTCTGCAACACCCCCCAAACCCTAGCCGCCGCCACCCTAATCTACCCTAATCCATGGCTTTCCAGGGTCATCTAAGACCTGTATCAGCCTTCCATGGCTTCTACGTGTTTGGTTCTGTGGTCTCATGACCAGACTCTGAAGGGGCTTGGTCCAGTCTTTGCTCGACGACCTTTCTCCGGTCATCTCTGACCTTTCTCCGGCCAGCCATGGCCATTCGAGTCAGACCTTTGACTCTCCTGTTTAGATTGGTAACTTTCAAGGCCTTTCTCGTTACTTTTGGGTTCTTTTGAAACCCTAATATCTAAGACCTTTTCGAATTCTTTCAGATCTACCTCAGATCCATGCTTGCCATGAGTTTTTAAGCATCTTCTCGAAATTTCTTTAACTTTACCTTCCAAACGACTCTTTTTTTTTAAGCAATCCACTAGGCATAGCCTAGGGCTAGTTTTTATTTATAACTAAAAAACAAACAAGCACAATGTCATGAAATCCTAACAGATGTACGAAAAGGAAATAAAAATCTACATAAGACCTATTATCAAAATTGAGCATTATACTCAAAATTGATATTACAAAAATTCTACTCAAAATTGCCTCAAAATTAATCCAATAAAAAACCCGATCTTTTGGCCCAACAAGACCACTATTGGAGGTATTTACTGATTTGCACAAATAGCCACTGTTTACTCCAAAATTCCCAAATTGCACATTTAGCCCAACCGTATGCATTGAATAAGCCAAAGCCTCCAACTGGGCCCAAAACGCCAAGCCCAACCGTGTAGTCAGCTCCAAATTTCCACCTCTGCTTTGCACAAACAGCCTCGCCTTTGCATTAGTAACCCCAATACACAACTTATTGAATTGAATAAATAGCCATACATGTGCAAACACATAATGGTTATTTACACAACTCAGTATTAACCAACCTACCCAGTCCAAACACACCCGAACTAGCACATATAGCCACCACCTTGCACCACCAGCCAACTTAAATTTAACAAATAGCCACATATATGTAAAACATATACACTGGCTATTTAGATAGACCAATAATGATGCCTTCCCACAACAGCCCAAATATTCATCTGCTAGCCCAATACAACGAGCCCAACTGAAAGCAATATTACATTGATAGCCACTGCCCACCCAAATGCATTTACAGGAGTAGCCAGAATTCCTCTTGACCCTATTAAATTGCACAAATAACCTCTGACTTACCCTTGTTTTCACCCAACACGTGTATAACTCCCTCCAACACCTGTACCACATATTAAAAACACCCCCCCATTTCCTAATATACCGACACTCCCCACTATCCACCACATATCCCCAAATCATTTCATCTCTCCAGAACCTCCTCACCTCCATCTGAAGCTCTCCTAGGTAACATCGACTGTCTTTCTCTTTCTTCTGTGTTGTATCTTCTTCATTTTTGCTCCACTCATCTGTACTAACTTCCTTTCTTCTTTGGATTTTCATGTATCTACTTGCATCTGTATGCCAAGCTGCTGCTACTATGACTTCTCGTGTTCTCCGCCTGACTGCTTCAACTCTGTGCTGCCTGGTGGTATCTCCTTCTGGTACGCCATTGATTACACACCCCCTCTGATGAACCACAAAGAAGCTGCATCTGTAACCCTTTGGTCGAATCTGTACCTTTCCTGTGTTTGTATCTTGTATTTAGGTCCTTCCATGTCTGTAGAAGAATATTACTTTCCTTTTCCTTAATTAATTCTTTACATGTATGCATCATACAGTAAAATTTACTGTCAGTCACACACTGTAACTAAAGGTCCCAAGCTGTGTGCTTGTATGTTCTTTATTTCTGCTTTTGCTGGTTTCCTTTTTGTTACTTTGCAGTATGTTCTTCTTTCTCTCGATTTGTGTTTGAAAATCTGTTTGTAACCACATGTATTCTAGGTTTAAGTTAACCCCGTGGATTGAGCACTTAGTACTGATACCACCACCTGAAGCCTCCTTAAACCCCAGATTACAAGTGTGTCACACACATGTATAGTTGTATTCCTATCAACATGATGTTATGTATTTTATATCTGCATAGCATTTTGTTGATTTTCCTCTGCTTTTGTTGTTGTGATGTTTTTGAATTCAAACTGTACTTGTGCTATATTCTAGGTATAATTTAGACCATTGGAATGAATGACTAGCATTGATACCACCAATTGATCCTCCATTATACCATAGAATAATAACAAATTCAATAAAGCAGCAGAATAACTAATTCTGTGTTGTAAAGTCTTGTATCTGTTAAAGCTTCCTACACAGAAAGACTTGTTCATAGAGCAAAGGGATAAAATTAACAGCAGTCCCCTCTTCCATAAGGATTTGGGTTCATATGTGCAATTAATGCTGTTTTCACCTGCCTGATCCCTAGTTTCCATGAAAACTAGTCTCTTTGCAATGCCAATTTCTTAAGCATTCTGAGCCTTTTTCTGATTTTAGAACCCTCCAACTATAAGTATCTATGCTTGCCCTGTCTTCATCTACCTAGGGAATGAGTGCACAGCACTAATACCACCCTATAGAGATGAAATACCTGACAGAACATAGATACTAAGCTCCTACCTGCAAAAAAGAAAACAATGTTAGAAAAGAATCTGCATCACCAAACTCTCCTCTCATTGCAGATTTTGAGTATGATGATTCCCTAGATTAGCTTCCTTGACCCTCCTACATCTCTTTCTCTCCTCTTAATTCCCTGCTACTTTCACTCTGATATATGGACATTGCATCTTATCCTCATTCACTATTCTCCTCCCCTGTACATCTAGATCCCAGAAGTCATAGCACTCAATCATGCCATGATCAAGTGCAAAATTTGCCAAATGGTCTGCCAACTTGTTCCCTTCTCTGAAAATATGTGACAGTTTCATCCTGCATCCTTCCTGAAGCTTCATAATCTCTTCTACATATTCCACAATACACCAAGGTGGTTTCCATGTTCCCTCAATAGTATTCTTCATGAGCATAGAATCTGTCTGCAGCCATATGTGAGAATAATTAAGAGTCCTGCATATTCTCAATGCCTCTAAGATTGCTACAGCTTCTGCTTCATTGTTAGATCCTTCAGTAATCTCCCTTCCCAATGCATATTTCACATCACCTGATGCATCCCTTAGACAAAAACCAATAGAACTTCTTCCAGGATTCCCTCTTGATGCCCCATCTGTGTTGACTTTTATCCAGCCCTCCATAGGAAACTCCCATAGTACTTTCTCATATTTAAGCCTTGGAGTATAGTTTTCCATCATAGTCAGCAAATTAGACCATCTGTGAGGTACTTGTAGGTTAGGTTTCCTCATCTGCACAAGGTGCTGGAGATGTGTTGACACTTGATAGATTACTCTGCTTACTGATACACCTTCTCCATGTTTTAGACTGTTTCTTCTCTTCCATAGCTCCCAAACTATGCAAGAAGGTAAAGCCTGCATGACTGGTTTTAATCTAGACACCACAGGTACAGTCCAGCATCTTGTAATGGCTTGGTGTAGAGTCAAACCTTGTACTGATATTCCAGCTCTTGGTAGGAAATACCTCCATACTGTCTCAGCAGATTTTGATGTGTAGAACAGATGCACTAATGATTCCTCCTTAGGTGCAGCACAACACCAACACTTAGATGGCATGAAATACCCCAGCCTTCTCATAAAGTCATCTAATGGTAATTTAGCTTTCCACACCTTCCACATGAAAAAGGAAATCTTAAAAGGAAGACCTCTTACCCAAATCATCTTATAAGCTCTTTTAGGATGATCTCTCCTTCTCAAGTATTCCCAGGCTGTTTTGACAGAAAAATAACCTTTGGGTTCCAGCATCCAAAATGGTCTGTCTATGTCATTTTCTACCAGTGGGGGGCTGATCTTCTCAATAATGTGTGATGCTAAGTCTTCTGGTAATAACTCCATTAATCTATCAACATTCCAAGCTCCATTCTCCACAAGTTCATACACATTCTGTGTTCCCTCATCTATACCAAAGTCTTGTGGAACAAGAAAATAAAGGGCCCCTAGTCCAGTCCAGTTATCATACCAAAACAAAGAAGAGCCCATCCTCAATTTCCATATTATCTGATGTTCAATAAGATCCCTGCACTCCAACATTTTCTTCCACACATGTGAGCCTTCCCTCCAAGGTACTACTACTGCATTTAGTTTTTTGCAGTATTTCTGACTCATGAAAGAGCTCCACAGACTAGGTTTAGTTCTGAAATTCCACCAAAGCTTACAGAATAGGGCCTTGGAAACATCATGTAGGGATCTGAAGCCAATTCCCCCTTCATCATAAGGCATACAAAGAGTGTTCCATGAAGCCCAATGTCTGCTATTTCCCCCAACTGAGCTACTCCAGAAAAACTGAGCAAACAACTTATGCAGTTTATTAATAACATAGTTTGGGGGGTTTACAGCAGATAACAGATGAATTGGTAAACTCTGCAGTACACTAGAAATTAGGACTGCCCTGCCTCCTATAGAAAGCAATTTTCCTTTCCATGACTGTAATCTGTTAAGAACCTTTGTGATCATTGGCTGGTAATAATCAAACCTCCTTCTTGCATAAAATATAGGGCATCCTAGATAAGTAAATGGGAAATCCTTACTTCCAATACCAGTAATCCTCTCAACTTTCCTTACTACTTCTGGATCTGTAAGGTGATGCATATAGATAGCAGACTTGTTCTTATTCACCAACTGACCAGAAGCAGCTTCATAGAGATATAATATCTCCATAATCAGCCTCAGTGATGTGGCATCTGAAGAGGAAAAGATGATGGTATCATCTGCATAAGCAAGGTGATTTATTTTTGGACTCCACTTTGGCAGTCCAAATCCACAGAAATAGAGATTTTGATGTAGTGAATTCAATCCCCTAGAAAGAGCCTCAGCAGCTAGAATAAAAAGTGTTGGAGACAATGGATCCCCTTGCTTGACACCCCTAGTTGATTTGAAAAAACCTCTTGGTTGACCATTTATAAGAACTGAGTACCAGTTATTCCCTACCAAATCAAAAATCATGCCAATGAACCTCTCACAGAAACCCATCTTTCTCAACACTTTTGTTAAGAAAAGCCAAGACAACCTATCATATGCCTTGGTCATGTCCAGTTTCATTACCACATTAGGACCAGCCTTAGTTCTTAATCTAATATCAGTAATGATCTCCTGGGTAAGCAATATATTCTCTACAATACTCCTACCTTTTACAAAGCCAGCCTGCTCCTCAGAAATTAAATTAGGCAGTATCTCTACCAGTCTGTCATGGATGACCCTTGAAAATATTTTATTAATGAAGTTACTAAGGCTAATTGGTCTCAAATCTGAAAAAGTAGTCACCTCTTTTTTCTTTGGTAGGAGAACTAGGTTAGTATGTGTCACACACTTTGGTAGCTGTTGACCACAGAAAAATTGCAGCACCATTGCATAAATATCCTCTCCAACAATATCCCAACATGTGTGATAAAAAGCCCCAGTAAAGCCATCAGGTCCTCCTGCTGAATCCCCATTCAATCCATATACTGCCTTTCTGACTTCCTCTTTTGTTGGTAGCTCAGTTAATCTTGCATTTTGCTCTTCCTCCACCAAAGTTGGAACATGATCAATGATGTGAAAGGTTGAAGGTACTACTGATTCTGTGAATTGGTCCTTGTAAAAGCTGACTGCTTCTTCTGCAATTTGCTCCTCCTCCTCTATCCAGATGCCCATGTTATTCTGTATCCTTCTCAGCTGTAATTTCTTTCTTCTACCCCTCACTTGAGCATGAAAGAACTTTGTGTTTCTATCCCCATCTTTAAACCATAACATGCCTGCTTTCTGCTTCCAAAATTCTTCTTCCACAGCAAGATACCTAATCATTTCTGCCTTAACCTTGTGCAACCTTTCTCTATTCATCTGAGTAGGAAATGCCTCAAACTGCCTCTCATGTACTAAAACAACCTCTTCTAAACTGGCAATTTTCTGAAAGATATCTCCATATGTTGCTCTGCTCCAACTGGAAAGTGCTTTCTTCAGTTTTTTCAACTTATAATTGAACAATATGAAAGGATTTGCAGCAAAATCTGCATTCCAATTTTCTCTCACCACATCTTTGAAAGTGTCATGCTTAGTCCAGAAGTTGAGGAATCTAAAGGACTTCCTAATTGGAGCAGCTTCAATGTCACATTTCAGATACAGTGGGCAGTGATCTGATCCAATTTTTGATAAATGTGTGATCTCAAGTCCTGGAAAAGTTTGCTGCAGCTCTAAATTACCCAAGCATCTATCAAGTCTTTCAAAAATACAATCCTCTTCTGATCTTCCATTCCACCAGGTGTAAATACTCCCCTTGAAACCCAGATCTGTGAGGTTGCAAGTGTTAATGCAATGCCTAAAATCATCAATCTCATTTAAATGAACAGGGAGCCCACCAAACTTTTCCTCCTCATCCCATATAACATTGAAATCCCCTCCCACAAGCCAAGGAGAAGTCATATCAGTAGCCATTGCATAAAGAGAATCCCATAGTTCTATCCTCTCTATTGCATCACATTTAGCATACACTAGAGTAAGTATAAGCTCTATATGAGTTTCTGTGTGAAACAGTTTCAGGGTCAACTGTTGAGTCATGTTGTACAGAATTGTCACCTCATACACTTCATCTATGAATGCCCATATTTTATTAGATACATTAACCACAGCCTGAGCCAAACCAATTCTTGCCCTGTATCTCTCCATTTTGTTTGACTGTTGCATAGGTTCCAATATTCCAATGAATTCAAAATGATGCTGCCTGTGCATTAAGATCAGTCTTTCAAAAGCTTGCATTGTATTCACTGATCTTACATTCCAAATTATTGCCTCCATTACTGATTTTGATTTTTAGATAAAGTCCTCCTGGTTTGTACACCTACTGCTGGAGCAGTTGATGTTTCTTTTGCCTGTTTCTTTCTACCTTTATTTGCAGATTTAGCTTGCTCAATATACCTAGGTGAAAGATCTCCTTGTTTTGCTACATTTATGAAGTTCTGAGCAGTTGACTCCTCATCCATATCTTTGCCATTATGTTCTGCAATTTGCACTTGTTCCTGTATCTTCTTAGTCTCTTGAACAACAACATTATTAGTACCTTTTGGAACAAGGACTGCTGTGTCAACACCCTGCAAATTGGTCTTCTGAACATGTGTAAGAGCCATTGGATCTATGCCTCCAGTTAACTCCTGCATCTGCTTCTTTTTGCTCACTTCTGTTGCTTCCCCTTCTTTAGCATCTATCACCTTTGAACCCTGCTGGGATTGTTTTATAACCTGATCCTTGTTTGTCTTAGGGACTGGAGAGGAATCTGTTGTTGCACTAGAGAGACCAATAGGGTTTGTTCCCCCTGGATCAATGTTGCCAGCATCCACTTCTTTAGTTGCCACAGTCTCCACAATATTCAATAAACCTTGACCTTCAGAAGTTGATTTACCTTTGGCATTTCCATTTACACTTTGTTCTTCCTCATCTACTCCTCCAGTTTCCTCCTCACTGTGCATTACATCAGGAATGACTCCTTCTTCTGCATCTTCTTCAACTTGTTCAGACCACAATTTGCCCCCCTTCCATTTTGCTTTGTCACTATTTTTATACATTTCAAAGTCTGCATCTTCTATGTTATCATTATCATTTTCCTTTGTAAGTGCCAAATCAACTCTTGTATCCTGTGAGGGTATATCCTGAACTGATGTATTTGTTGCCACAATGTTGCCAATAAAGGCCCTTTGTACCCATGCTGCAGTAGATTCTTGTACCTGATTTTCATAAATTTCCATTTCCCTACTCTTTGCTCTCTCATCTTCCTTTGAGGTGTTCAACTTTGCTGCTGTAACACTAGTAGTTGGTACATTACCTGTGTTCTTCTTTCCACCATTCTTGCCCCTGTCTGTCCCAGGAGTAGTAGGTTTAAACACTGTTGCTGCAGGATTTAGGATGCCTCCACCCTTTGCATTGAGCATTAAACTTTGAGTTCCCTGGTCCTCCACCAATGCCAATTGATTATTGGCAGTATCTTCATTATTTTCCACCTCTAAGACTTCAAACATGTTGTTGGTCTGCACCTGCTGTAGATCTCCAGCATTTTGTTTTTCAACAGGTACTATTTCCTTCCCAATTGTTGTTGTTCCTCCACTCTGCTTGTCTTTACCTTGAGCCCTTCTGTCTCTAATCTCTTTCCACTGTGCACCTACATTGCCAACAACCTTTCCACTTGTAAGAATCATTAATGGAGCATTATTCTTACTAGTTTCCTTGTTTGCTTGTACACCACCATCTGCAACAGACTGCTTCTCCACTTTCCTATTATTTAGAAGTTCAGGATGCACCCTCCAACATTCCATTAAGTCATGGCCTTGTAGTTTACAATCCTTGCAATATTTAGGTAAATAATCATACTTAATATTCACCCATTCAGTTCTTATATCTCCCGTATTCTCATTGACAATATCCATCCTAACCTTTTTAGGGAGATCAGCTAATAAATCAACTAGCACCTTCACACGTGCACAGCTAGGTCTAGTTTTGTTCATAGTAGCTTGATCAAGGTGTTGTGGTATTCCAACAGCTGAAGCCAATGAAAATAGGCACTCTTTAACGAAAAAAGTAGGCAACAGATTTGGGAATGAAATCCATGCCATTACTTTAGGGGTCTCCTCTCCAACTTTGAAGTTAGAATCATATATCAAAGTACGCAATTGATATTCCTCCCCATGTTTGTCCCTAACATAATAAACACCTTTAGATGAAAAATTAACATAATCCTCCCATAATGTGAACCTCACCAGTATATGTCTATCCCTTAAGTACCCAATGTTGCATTCACCCTTGATTCCACATTGCACTGGAATAATACGTCGCAATTCATTGATTTCAGGCCATCCATACGAGAATTTACATACAACTGCATACTTTAAACCTTCTATAATATTCATACGCTCGACTTCTGATTCAGTAAAGCAAACTAAAGGTTGACCTTGATGTAAAGTAGCTCGTCTAAGCGTAATAGGTTCCACTACTGCTGCTCGCTCATCCATGGCAGTGTTATTCGAAGAATTTTTCACTGCTTTGGCATAATTCATTGGGACTGTTTTATCGCTAGGCAAATTATAGGGCGTTGAATTGTTGTTTGTTGTAATAGGGGGTTGGGTAGAGGACGTAGGGGGCTGACCAGCCGGAAAACCAGGCTGGCCGCCGGCCAGATTGGCCATGGTAGATGATCTCAACTTTCTCTCTCTAGATCGCTTTCTAGAGAGAAGGCAGAGAAAATTCGCAAGTCTCTTCATGGCTGATGCTTTCCAAACGACTCTTCATCTTTTCCGATTAGGGTTTTTCTTTTAATTTATTTGCAACCTCTTCTCTGATCTTAACGTGTTTCTGATTTTGTTATGTTTGCTCATGTCGTTCTCCTATCTGATTTTAGCATGTTAAAAACCCTAATTTCATGTGGGTTCATTCGAGTTTCTGAAGCTGCTTGCTAAGTATTTGTTTGATTTATTTGTTTTTATAACTCGATTGATGTTGAAAACCCTAATTTCTTTTGGGTTCATTCGAGTTTCTGAAGCTGTTTGCTAGTATCTGTTTGATTTATCTGTTTATCATCTTTAAACTCGATTGATGTTGAAAACCCTAATTTCTTTTGGGTTCATTCGAGTTTCTGAAATTGTTTGCTAGTATTTGTCCGATTTATTTGTTTATCTTCTTTAAAGCTTGACTATTGTTGAAGAAACCTATGTCTTTGGGTCTGAAACTATTCGTTTGAATGCCTGACTTGATTTGAATGTTCCTTGTTTCAGAACCACTTTTCTTTGTGTGAATCCCTTGATTCTGGGTTTTACTATCTTTAAAATTGGACTATGCTTGAAACTCTAACTCTTCAGAAGGGTTTTCTCATCTGTTACTGCAAGACCCCTTTGCATGCTTCTGATACTCTATTTTGCTTCACTATTGATTCAATATGACTTGACCTACTGGACTATCATGCTTCAAATGTTTGCTATCTACTGACTTTGTGCTACTATTGCATGCTGTTTCTTTTGCCAATAGGTTTGGCCTCGCATGTCTATTGTTTGTGCACTCTATTTATATGCTGAGGTTCCTTCTTTGATTGATTTCAAAACTTGTCTTTTTGTGAACTCTAATTTCACTCGCCTGTTAAAATAATTGATCCCTTTCCTTATTTTGCCTTACGAAATCTTTTCCCCAAAATAAGTGTATCTCTGTACTTGGACTCGATTGTTTACTTAATGTTTTACTACTTCTTTTATGGCAATGATCAGTCTGCCTATAAACTGATTTTCTTTCCTTATTTTGAATCTATTAGCCCCGTTAAACAAGTGATTCCTCAATTAAAGGGGAATCACTTGGTTGATTGATTCTAACTGTTGATTGTTTCCATAGTTGTATTGAATTTTACTTATTACCTTATTTCTCATATGCTTTTTCAAAAGGCTATAAATACCCTGCACCCCCTTCTTTCAAAGACACGAACACAAGGAATAAAATACTTGAGTTCAGACACACACTCCACAAAAAATCTCTCTTTTTTTTCTCTGTTGCTACTTGTGTTGCTGCCTTACCTAGCCGGCTGAAAGCCAAGGCTAGGCTGTGGAAAGCTTACTTTTTTTTCTCTCTGCATTTGCATCTTTACTGGTATGTTCTAACTAATTTTCAGTATCAACAACAACATGTTTCTTTACTATTGCCTTCATCCTTGTTTGTTTCCTGTTTGTATTTAATCAAGTCCCATTATTAAGCATGCTGTAATCTGCCCTTTCTGTTATGAATCAATGCTTTCTTATGTATGAATTCTGTCAGTAACTTATTATAACTTATGAGTCCTAAACCCCCATATCCCCTATGTGTTTGCTATCTTTGGTTGGTTTGGGGCATGACAGCACTGGACATTGCCGTGCATGACCCAAACCTGATCCCCTGGGATCATAACCTCCATACCCCTCTATATGTTGTGTGTTCTGTTTTGTTTATGGACATGCCAGCACCATCTATTGTTGTGCATACCTAAACCTGATCCCTGCCTAAGGATATATGCTCTTTGTAATGTGTTCCCAAAACCCCTGACCCCCTTTGTATGGAAATATTAATTTTGTGCTTTATTACTACTGTTTTCCCATCACCCTTTTTACCCCTCTCCATTCTCTACTCAGTTTTTATCTATTTTTACACTTCCACCATATTCTTAGACTTAAGTTCAGCCCCTCTTGTGTGAGCCTTGCCTTGGGATCCATGAGTTCCCTCTGAACTTGGACACATAAACGCTGGCCCTTCCACACTGCACTCATCTCTATTTGGTTCTGCAAACTTGGGTGTAAGCACTTCCCGAGGCCATTTGAGACCCTTAGGGAACTCTGACACACCCAGGTCTGAGAAAGGCTTTGAAATATGGCATTTTGAGGTGGGTTATTCCCTAACTCAGAGAGGAAGTCAAGAATTAGGCTTCCTCTGGTTGTAACTTCTACTTTTGTTTTACTTTTAATGTAATTCATTATTTCTGGTTTGTAATAATTTGTAATAAACACCTGGGGCTGGCTAGTGGAAATGGATGGGTAATTATGCATGCTCAAGGGTAGAAAACATGCTCATAGGATTTGTGTTCTGAATGATTCAATTCTGCATTTTAGAAAGCATGTCTATAGGACTGGTTTTAAATCCTGCATGTTCAATTTTGCATTTAGACACCATGTCCATAGGATTTATTATAAATTCTGCATGTTTGACTTTACACCTAGATAACCTACCTATAGGACTTGTTTGTTACCACTTAGACACCATGCTCTAGGATCTAAACGGCTATAAGCATCTATCGTGTTCATAAT